TAAGGGTCGGCCAACACGTAGTTGGAAAGCTGCTGTTAAGGAGATTTTTTAACCTGAAAATTTAAGAGTAGACTCTCGCGAACGCGTTTGCCAGGAATGAGTGACAAAAGAAAAAGAAACCCATCTTAGACCCCTAGAGTTGGCGACAGGTCAGATTATTATTTTCAGGAGCTTTTTCTGGCTCCAGCATGTTTCGTTTCCACGTGGATGCGCGCGCGAGCAGCTTGAATTTACACCCCTCACCCCCTCACGTATATATTTCAATGCTGAAAGCTGAAAGCACAATGCATCCACAAACTAACAAGCCAGGTAAAGAGGATGTTGGGAAAATTCAAAGAAAAGTAGTGACAAGGAGAGATTTTTTCTTGGAAGAGGACCACCAAAGGGTGACCAATTGATATGTTTACGACTCGCCGCGGAACTTATTTTGTAAAGAATAAGCAACACCTCAGCCAAGAGGCCCATGGGAGATGTTTAGCAGCTTATAAAGGCTCTTAGACTTCAATATTTTTGACTGGTAAGAATTCACGGAGACAAGGAGTTTAGTTTTTTTCCTAATTTCCATTGGTGAACCAATTAATATACGCCAAAGAATTTTTATCGGCGGTTGGCAAAAAAATATGGCAACCCTAATTCACGAGGTGTCGAAAATAAATAAGCTGACGTTTAACCAATTTTGCCTGCATTTAGAAAAATTACAAAGAAGAATAAATATTAATAACAAATATGATTAAAAAATTGTTTATGTAAATTGCAATGTTGCACCCGTTAATTTTATAATACAGATTATTGGAATAAATTCAATTTTAAGAATAATATTTCCAAGCATATTAAAAAAAACTGACAAAAAAATGTGGAATATGTAATTGACCTCTAATTACTCATGGGAAAAATTTAAAATTTGAATGGATTGTTTTATTATTTAGTGGAAGGAGGGTGCCTTGCATGTTTTATTTTTGCGCTCCCAGGTTATACCTGGTCGCACGCGTTGGCGGCGTCGAATTCATTGATGGTGCATTATTGGTTTTATTGCACCCAGCGTGCACGACTTATGCGCCCGTCACGGCTGATTTCCTTACACGCCGCGTCGGTTTCTTGGTGGAGATGATGCAGCGCCCTGTTGTATTCTTCTTTCTGTGGTTGCTGAAATGAAGGGTCGCTCTCTCCCTGAAATATTTCTTTTTCATTCTCACGCACCAATTTTCCCCATAAATTACAGAGAATAAGACTCGAAAACGCCAACATTATGCCATTCTGTCCGACGCAATTTTCTTATTCCAGTTTGACTCAAAATGAATCACTTTGGTTGCAAATTGTGTATATCACCGGGTATTCTCTGCCCACATACATCATCCATTAATTATCAATATTATAAATAACATTGCTTACAAGAGAGAGAAAAGAAATAAAAAATTAAGTGCACTTTTTTGCTCTTTCACTCACTTAGTCGAGTCGCGCTTTATTTGTCCAATAACATTGAACAACTTAACATTTTTAACATTTTTTTTTTTGTAAAATTTATTGCTGCAATCAATTTTATAGGATTTTTTAACAAAGGTTCTACTGGCAACAGCATGGCAATGCTGGCGTTCGTGAACACAATTAGCCAGCCAATTCTCACTTTCTTTAATTTATGCGGAAAAATTTGGTGCGTGAGATTGAAAAAGAAATATTTCAAGCAAAGAGCGACCCTTCATTTCAGCAACCACATAAAGAAGAATACAACAGGGCGCCGCAGCATCTCCACCAAGAAACCGACGCGGCGTGTAAGGAAATCAGCCGTGACGGGCGCATAAGTCGTGCACGCTGCAATAAAACCAATAATGCACCATCAATGAATTCGACGCCGCCAACGCGCGCGACCAGGTATAACCTGGGAACGCGAAAATAAAATAAGCATTTAAATTTAAATATTCTGTATTATAAAATTAGCAAGAAAAATATTACAATATGCGTAAAATTGTGTAATCTTAAGAAAAAAACTCTATAGAAACATTTTATTCTATTTTTTATAACAGAGATTGTCATTCATAGCAGAGAGAAGATTGTGGTTGAAATTTTTGCAGGACGGAATAATATGTAATATTTTTTTATCGTGTTAGGGACTGCGTTAACACTAAGTCGCGATGCTTAAAAGCTAGAGATGAATTTGTATAAGTTTGTTTCTTGTTTCACTAGCGTAATTATAAAGCACATCTTAGACGTTATGTTAATATGCACAAATATATGAAATTATCGTCTTGAAATCTCTAAAAAAATTGAACATAGCAGATTGTGTGCGTGATTTCATAATTGACTATTAATGATAACTTCTTAGTATTTAAACTGCATATTACAAAATGGTCAGTTGAAGTTTTGCAATTAATATTTAAATTATTTATTATTAAAAAATATATAGTTTACAATTTAATCTTATCATAAATAAATGTTATAATTTTATTTTTTTATTTGGATTTAAGCGGTGAAACACATCATAAGAATTCTCAGATAGTAGTTAGTGTGCGTGTGTTTTTTTCTGTTCTAATTAGAGCAGTGCTTTGTTTGTGTTGTAAAACACAAACTCTTAAAAACATCAGAAGTAGAACAAAATTTTCTTTTTTAAAATCATTGGTTTATATATTTTCATACGTATGTAAGCAAAACCAAGTTATGAAGAAAATAATATTTAATTTGATCATATTGAAACTGTAGTCCATTTAAAGAATTTTTTAAAGTACCCGATGATATTTTTTTTCAATTTTTCTTAAGCTACCTTTGATTTTTGTAAGCTTGACATGTTTCAAGTTTTTTTTTTTTTTTTTTTTGAAAAATTAATTTTTTGGCAAAGGGACAAAAATTGTGTTTATCGCGCTGCTGCTTTTAATCGCGATTAATATTTTTTCGTGCTGTCTCCTACTTGATCGCCCCATGCTCTGTCGCTCGGCGCGCTGTGGTGCAAACTTAATTCCTCGTTCAAAAATGCGTCTATCAAGCGCAAATAAATTTTCCTGCTTTTCACTGTATCTGCTAGTCTTTGTAAGTTATATGGGGAGTCAGATTAACTACATTGAATGCTTTAATTTTAAGTTTATTGCATGATTTAATTTGATTTTTTTTCTATATGATCAACTTTAATTAATATTTTGTTGAAATACTTAAGTCATTTAATTTATGTAATGATATATGATATTCTAAAAATAAATTTTGTTTTTTATTTATATCTGAAATAATAAAATTTATTTTTCCATCTCATTTCAGAGATCTTTGTGGATGAAATTGATTTGTACAACCAACACCTTTATGAGGATGGCGAAGAACTTGAACCATGCAATTATGATAGTGAAGACGAAGAAGAGGTAACTGAGACACAAAATTATTCAAGCTCTGAGGATGAATTGGAATTTGAAAGCGAAACGGAACAGTCTTGTGAATTTGAAAATACCGATCAAAATTTTGATGAACAACAAAATGAAAAATTGTATGAAAATGCACAAATAACACAACGAGAGAGTATGATACTTATAGTTTTCTTGGCAACTTGTTTTAGAATGCCATACTGTATAACGCGTAGCCAGCCTTTTATTGGGAGGTAGGAACCTCTTATTGGTAGGTGGTCCCCACCACTTAAATATCACTAAAACGTGATAAATTTTGTTAAGTTTTCATGCTTGGTCGATCGTGTAGCCATCTGGTGGTCATTTGACAATAACAATTGCACTGAGGGAATATGAAGCACCGACTCCTGCATAGAGTATACCCCATAATAGTTACGTTAATAGTTAATCAGCTTGGCCCATTCCCTGTTTATGCGAGGCACGGAAAAGTCGCGGAAGTTGTGTTCGCGATAGTTGCGGAAGTTGTGTTCGCGATTAAGGATTTTGTGTTCAGCCGCGTGGTAAGTTACCTGTTATTGCGAGGTACCTTCCCTGATACTGCGAGGCACCGAGAAGTTGTGTTCGCGATTAAGGATTTTGTGTTCAGCCGCGTGGTAAGTTACCTGTTATTGAGAGGTACCTTCCCTGATACTGCGAGGCACCGAGAAGTTGTGTTCGTGACTAAGGATTTTGTGTTCAGCCGCGTGGTAAGTTACCTGTTATTGCGAGGTACCTTCCCTGATACTGCGAGGCACCGAGAAGTTGTGTTCGCGATTAAGGATTTTGTGTTCAGCCGCGTGGTAAGTTACCTGTTATTGCGAGGTACTTTCCCTGATACTGCGAGGCACCGAGAAGTTGTGTTCGCGATTAAGGATTTTGTGTTCAGCCGCGTGGTAAGTTACCTGTTATTGCGAGGTACCTTCCCTGATACTGCGAGGCACCGAGAAGTTGTGTTCGCGATTAAGGATTTTGTGTTCAGCCGCGTGGTAAGTTACCTGTTATTGCGAGGTACCTTCCCTGATACTGCGAGGCACCGAGAAGTTGTGTTCGCGATTAAGGATTTTGTTTTAAGCCGCGTGGTAAGTTACCTGTTATTGCGAGGTACCTTCCCTGATACTGCGAGGCACCGAGAAGTTGTGTTCGCGATTAAGGATTTTGTTTTAAGCCGCGTGGTAAGTTACCTGTTATTGCGAGGTACCTTACCTGATACTGCGAGGCATCGAGAAGTTCGCGATTAAAGATTTAGTGTGAAGCCGCGTGGTAAGTTACCGGTTATTGCGAGGAACCTTCCCTGATACTGCGAGGCACCGAGAAGTTGTGTTCGCGATTGAGGATTTTGTGTCCAGCCGCGTGGTAAGTTACCGGTTATTGCGAGGTACATTACCTAATACTGCGAGGCACCGAGAAGTTGTGTTCGCGATTAAGAATTTTGTGTTCAGCCGCGTGGTAAGGTACCTGTTATTGCGAGGTACTTTACCTGATACTGCGAGGCACCGAGAAGTTGTGTTCGCGATTAAGGATTTTGTGTTAAGCCGCGTGGTAAGTTAACTGTTATTGCGAGGTACCTTCCCTGATACTGCGAGGCACCGAGAAGTTGTGTTCGCGATTAAGGATTTTGTGTTCAGCCGCGTGGTAAGTTACCGGTTATTGCGAGATACCTTACCTGTTACTACGAGGCTCCGAGAGGTTGCGGAAGTTGTGTTCGCGATTGCGTCGCCACTGCGGAAGTTGTGCAATATGAAATAAGCATAAAACGGGGAACGTGAGAAAAGTTCACGGTGCACCAATAGGCGAGTAGCTTGTATTCACCATGCTTTTACAGTTCCTAGTTTCACTATGGTGGCTTGTTGACGTCATAGCATCCATAGACCAATCGACCCCGGCCTAAAAATAAACAAATACAACTACAATTTCTAAATTAATTGAAAGAAGATTTGAATTTTAACGATTCCCGTAGAATAACTCAATCTAGGTATAATATATTATTCCATAAACAGTTATGGTGCTTCCTTGCTAGCCACCTTATGTGCTATTCAATAATTCTTTCAGATTGTCAAAACGTCTCCAATAATCCAAAATAGCATTGCCAATGGAGGACTACTCCGAAATACCCAGGCGAAGTGAGTTTGCAAGATATAAATCTCGTCGTCTCTTTAGCTTCATCTTTTATATTAAAATCTTTACAGGCCACAGGGCTCGAAAGCCTATTCAAAGGCTTCAGTACAACGAAAAGGTGTCTAACAAGAAGCCTAAGCACATGCCTGAGGTCCCTGAGAAGAAGCCAAAAATATCTGGGAGCAAGGTTACTGGTCAGTTTTAAAATCAGTCAAATTCTTGTGTCTGAATATGTTAAGTCATTCGCAGATGAGACACAAAATGGGGAGCCAACAGGAAATTCCCGTCCTAAGCTCAATTATGATGGATGGGTAGCGAAAGAGAAGCAAAGAGGTTTTTGAAAAATTTATATATATTGTATAAAAAAACCACCTTTGAACTTTTTAGGACCTTTGACTTCAGAGTCTGATGAAGAATTTGAGCTGATGTATTTCACAGAGTCTGAAGAGGATCAACCGAAATAAAATTTTTTAAAAAAGAAAATGAAAATTTCTAATTTTTTCTGACATTACACGACTGAAGAGGTTTTGGTGGGTGCTTTCGTTGAAATTTTTTTTGGTCTAGTGTTTCTAATCTCAAATGCTCGGGTTTTCATGAATAAAGAAACAAAATTTATATATTTGGGTTTTTAATGTTTGAAACTATAACACTGAATCAATATATCTGATTATAAAGGCAATTTCTCCAATTTAAATTTTTTGTATTGACCGAGAAAAATAAATAATAATAAGTACACCTACTTTTTAGGGGCTGGAGAGTACTAATAAGACACTTTGTAAGTTATAAACATTGTCCCCTTCCCAAGACAGGTCAACATCAATTTTGATAAATGAGTTTCAATATGCAACATCATACGACGAGGAAGTTGGGCTGATTGAAAAGCAGCATGGTCGCACCTCAGATGTCAGGCCTGAAAAAAATGAAGTAAATGTCAGTTGATAGAAAACGTAAGGTACAAATGACTCAACTGTGCAAGGAAGGTTGTGGTTGGTTGTTAAGGCAGTTCTCAAGACAAGGGTCTTATATGTCTTCCAGGTGTCACCTTTTCAAAATAGGAGCAGCATTTCACAAAAATGGGCAGATAAGTCAGCTCTGAAAAATTGTGTAAATGTCATTCGACATGCAACAACAAAGGTGAAAATGACATACCTGCGGAAGGAGGGTGTTTATTGGTTATTCAGGCAGTTCTCAAGAGTCTTTTACTACGTCCAGGTGTCAAATAATAGAAATACGACCAGCATTTCATAAAAATGAGGATATCCAGTGCTGAAAAATAAAGTCAATACGTCAGTGTGGTTTGATCAAAGAGAAAGCCGCCCTCAATTCCTAAACGTTAACAAATTGAAAATCATGAACGTGAGCACAAATTGTTCCAATTCCTTACAGTAGTGGAATTAACGACTCTATGTATTATTGTGTGCAATAAAAAAAGTATTGCTTTTTTAGGGGGACAAAAAATATCGCTCCAGAAAGTCCAGAATGGGAATGGGAGGCCGGGCCTTTGTTTTGGATGCTAAACTCTTCCAATGCCAACCAACGCGATTTGAGGAAAAAAAATTTGTTAGTGTCGCAGATTCTTGAATTCCTAAGGGCTAATGAAAGAAGTGTGAAAATGCATAAAATTATTGTTTTGGTTTGTTTTGAACGGATTTCTTTTGATAAATGGTTGATGCAGATGAACTGAACTTACGGTCAAGTTTCGCCCCCTGGAACGCGCGGAGAAGACGTGCAGGTTCAAAAGCTAAAGGAAAATTTCACGAAAATGAATTTATTTATTTTACCATTTTACATTAACACAGAAGGATAAAACTTAAGCCATGGCTCTAAAAATAAAACATATTAATTATTATATTTAAATTTAGCCACTGCTCAGCGATTTTAGAGGAGTTGACTCTCAATTCAGATTTGAAGCGGTTCCCACGCTTGATATACAAAAGAGTGAAGCGACATTCAACCTGTATTTGCGGATTTTTTTTTAAATTGGTTTAGTTATCAATTTCCACTTCAATTTCGAAAAAGGGATTTTCGAATTAAATTAACCGCATTAAAAGCAACTTTTTCTCTTGCTCAAAGAAGATCTTTTATTTTAAAATTAATTCAATTACACAAAATGTGACAAAAATGAGATAAAATTAAGATAAAATTGGGACAAAATGAAGGCAAAAGATAAAAAGCAGGCAAAAAGTATATCTAGAGATTCTCTGCTTTAATAATATGTTCTGAAACATTTCAATGAATTTGCTTTGTGCTCAACATTTTCCGGGGGCGAGGGAACTGGTTGATCGCTGACCGAAATGACAAAATATCCTCGGTTGCAAATACAATACATCGTCAGCAGTGGTCAACACAACATCCGCGGACTTTGTGTTGCCAACTGTGGAAATTGTGTTTGTGACCGTGAAATCTTTTACTGTGGTCAGGCGAGGCAATATTTATTTAACATTTAATCATCATGATTATGCTTAATAATTTCTGAAATAATTGTAACTTTGGATTTTCTCGTGCTGTGTCACATCGTGAGTAGGATACAGAGGCAAAATTTTCACAACACAAAAGACAGCTTAATATTTTGTAACTCTTTAATGACTCTTCAATGTCGTATTTATCTCATTTGTACCACAGTTTTGTCTTAATTTTGGCTTAAACAATGCATTTTCGGTAGTCAACCGAACATCCGCGGACTTTGTGTTGCCAACTGCGGAAGTTGTGTTCGTGACCGTGAAATTTGCATAATTGCTCAATAGGTGGCAGAGAGTTGCCTTATTTGCCATGAGTAGTTTCTTGAAAAAGACACCACAGTACAATTTTGTTCCCCCTTACATGTATTTGTATTGTATATATATTTACATAAATCATTTAAAAAAGTCTCAATTGTGAAACAGTTAGTTATGTTTATTAATTATGCTCCCAGACAAGCTGCTGATTGGAGAAAGTCGACGGAGACAAAAGTCGACAACCGACACACAAGGGCACCTGAAAATGAAAAAATTCAGTCAACTTGCAAGACTAGGGATCAAATTTGCTACCTGTGAAGTCTGGACTGTGGGTGGAGTTGCGCTGTCTGATACTCTGATTCAGGGCTTCCATCCTCTTTTGCTCCCATACAATAAACTGCTGGTGATTGAGAAAGTCGACGACGGAGCCAAAAGTCGACAAATGAGGCACAAAGGGGCACCTGAAAATAAAAAAAGATAAATAAATAAATAGATTAAATACTCAAGTTTGCTGATTTAGTTTCAATAATAAAGGAAATGTAAGTCTGGAAAGTCGCCTGAATATGGATATTAGAGGTGGATTGGACAACATTATTCTGTGCCCCATTAGAATTAATGTTAAAAAGCTGATGAAAATAAGAAAAAATGAAATTAGTTGACTTCAACAACACTGTGGAAAGTATTTACCTGCTGCTTTTGTTGAGTGCCTTGAGGAATTTTGCCTCCGTCGGCTTGCTGCAGCCTCACATCTGTTGGATGCTGCATGAGAAACAAATTCAGTCGGCACCATACGGCAGTATGCTTTGATTGGCCCTGAAAAAGAATATATAAAATAAATCGACTTGCAAGAGCAGGGTAAAAATTAATTACTTACCTGGCCAGTCAAGGCAAAGAGCCAGGTGGTGCGGACTGAATGAGTGGGTCCCTTCCTTCACATTGCAGCATCCAGCAAGACTGAGGCTGCCGCAGTTTGACGGTGGCAAAATTCCATCAGCGAAACAAAGAAGAAGCTGGAAAAAAAATTAATTAGTCTACTTCAACAACAAGGTGCAGGAAATTAGTAACTTGCTCCTTGTGCTGAGTGCCTTGAGGAATGTGGCTTCCTTCGGCATGCTCAAGCCTCATGTCTGTTGGATGCTGAAATGATCAAATTTAAATTTGACCTTCGGCCACTTATCAGTCAGCAAACTGGAGTCTATCTATTTCTTTATTCTCTCTTCAATTCAATATGTCTGTGAAAAACTTTCACATATCGAATAATTTAACTTAACAAAACTACACTTTTTAAGGTAATTTAATGAAGCCCTGATTCCAACAAAATATATCAAAATGAGGAAATATAAATCCTGAGATGCCACCGGCCTTCACCTAGGTATACTAATAGTTTTACATAAAACCCAAGCTCAGACCAATGCCTGAGATGGCACCGGCCTTCACCTAGGTATACTAATAGTTTTACATAAAACCCAAGCTCAGACCGATGCCTGAGATGGCACCGGCCTTCACTTAAGTATACTAATAGTTTTAGATAAAACCCAAGCTTAGACCGATGCCTGAGTTGGCACCGGCCTTCACCTAGGTATACTAATAGTTTTTATTTAAACCCAAGCTCAGACCGATGCCTGAGATGGCACCGACCTTCAACTATAGGTATACAAATAGTTTTACATAAAACCCATGCTCAGACCGATGCCTGAGATGGCACCGGCCTTATTATTATTGCAGCTTTATTGCATTATGGAATGTAATCACATGTAATATCTCCCGTGCGACCCACCCATTTACAATTTTGTCAAATGATATACACAGCAGGGAAAAAAAGAAGTTTTACATATTTACAAGTTATTTTTGTAATTTACATACTCCTCCTCAGTGTAGAACTTGTGAAAACTAACAAATTTTTTTAACAAGCCCACAAACTGAGGGTATCTCAACTCCAATCGAATAGATACAGGCAAATTATTATACAAGCGCGACAAGCAAATGAGCGGATTTTGCCTCGAAATAGCACACGTCTGGACCGGCACGTACAACTCAAACTTCTCGCGCGTCTCATATGCATGCACATCTCGCGTTTTCACAAAATATTCACCTAGGTATACTAATAGTTTTACATAAAACCCAAGCTCAAACCGAGGCCTGAGATGGCACCGACCTTCACCTAGGTATACTAATAGTTTTACATAAAACCCAAGCTCAGACCGATGCCTGAGATGGCACCGGCCTTCACCTAGGTATACTAATAGTTTTACATAAAACCCAAGCTCAGACCGATGCCTGAGATGGCACCGGCCTTCACCTAGGTATACTAATAGTTTTACATAAAACCCAAGCTCAGACCGATGCCTAAGATGGCACCGGCCTTCACCTAGGTATACTAATAGTTTTACATAAAACCCAAGCTCAGACCGATGCCTGAGATGGCACCGGCCTTCACCTAGGTATACTAATAGTTTTCCATAAAACCCAAGCTCAAACCGATGCCTGAGATGGCACCGGCCTTCACCTAGGTATACTAATAGTTTTACATAAAACCCAAGCTCAGACCGATGCCTGAGATGGCACCGGCCTTCACCTAGGTATACTAATAGTTTTACATAAAACCCAAGCTCAGACCGATGCCTGAGATGGCACCGGCCTTCACCTAGGTATACTAATAGTTTTACATAAAACCCAAGCTCAGACCGATGCCTGAGATGGCACCGGCCTTCACCTAGGTATACTAATAGTTTTCCATAAAACCCAAGCTCAGACCGATGCCTGAGATGGCACCGGCCTTCACCTAGGTATACTAATAGTTTTCCATAAAACCTAAGCTCAGACCGATGCCTGAGATGGCACTGGCCTTCAACTAGGTATACTAATAGTTTTACATAAAACCCAAGCTCAGACCGATGCCTGAGATGGCACCGGCCTTCACCTAGGTATACTAATAGTTTTACATAAAACCCAAGCTCAGACCGATGCCTGAGATGGCACCGGCCTTCACCTAGGTATACTAATAGTTTTACATAAAACCCAAGCTCAGACCGATGCCTGAGATGGCACCGGCCTTCACCTAGGTATACTAATAGTTTTCCATAAAACCCAAGCTCAAACCGATGCCTGAGATGGCACCGGCCTTCACCTAGGTATACTAATAGTTTTACATAAAACCCAAGCTCAGACCGATGCCTGAGATGGCACCGGCCTTCACCTAGGTATACTAATAGTTTTACATAAAACCCAAGCTCAGACCGATGCCTGAGATGGCACCGGCCTTCACCTAGGTATACTAATAGTTTTACATAAAACCCAAGCTCAGACCGATGCCTGAGATGGCACCGGCCTTCACCTAGGTATACTAATAGTTTTCCATAAAACCCAAGCTCAGACCGATGCCTGAGATGGCACCGGCCTTCACCTAGGTATACTAATAGTTTTCCATAAAACCTAAGCTCAGACCGATGCCTGAGATGGCACTGGCCTTCAACTAGGTATACTAATAGTTTTACATAAAACCCAAGCTCAGACCGATGCCTGAGATGGCACCGGCCTTCACCTAGGTATACTAATAGTTTTACATAAAACCCAAGCTCAGACCGATGCCTGAGATGGCACCGGCCTTCACCTAGGTATACTAATAGTTTTACATAAAACCCAAGCTCAGACCGATGCCTGAGATGGCACCGGCCTTCACCTAGGTATACTAATAGTTTTACATAAAACCCAAGCTCAGACCGATGCCTGAGATGGCACCGGCCTTCACATAGGTATATTAATAGTTTTACATAAAACCCAAGCTCAAACCGATGCCTGAGATGGCACCGGCCTTCACCTAAGTAAACTAATAGTTTTACTTAAAACCCAAGCTCAGACCGATGCCTGAGATGGCACCGGCCTTCACCTAGGTATACAAATAGTTTCCCTAAATCCCAAGCTCAGACCGATGCCTGAGATGGCACCGGCCTTCACCTAGGTATACTAATAGTTTTACATAAAACCCTAGCTCATTTAGTCAACTTGCAAGACTAAGGATCAAATTTGCTACCTGTGAAGTCTGGACTATGATTGGAGTGGCGCTTTAAATTATAATTTAATTCTCTTGATAGACCTTCACAATTTCAAGTAGCTGATCTTGATGATAGAATGGGTGCGTATTGTGTTCTTCTTTATCTTTACTCCAGGAACAGGCTGACAGGTGGCTTTTTTCCAGCAGGCAACTGTCCAGGGCGGTATTTATGTCCATGTAGACTTTCCGAAAACAGGATCTAAAATTTTTTAGCGAATTAAAATTTTTTATTTCAATTTATTGCAATTGAAAAATAAAAATTATAATTATTTGCCGCATTGTAACATTTCTAAATATGATTTGTATTTTTCGAACATGAGTGGCATTAATGTTTAGAAATGAAGATGATTTATTTCAAAATATTAAATTATTAAATTAAATCTTAAGCATCGTTTAATCTTACAAAAGTTAGTACATACCTTAAAAATTTGGAGATCGGACTCCTCTTCTCATTGTCAGTTCGAATGCCAAAGTATCCAAAGATTGGCCTGCGTCGTTTTCTCAATGATGCCGTTCGCCGTTTATTGCGTTAATCAAGAAACTGAAACAGAAAATTCTATATTACTTCATTTCTCATACAGAAATGTAAAGATAAATATTTTAGTGTGAATTCTATTTACATAAATGCTGTACTTTGTGCTTATAATTATGATAAAATTTTATTATGGCACGCAATGAAGAGAAAATTTGATTGAACCCACAATTTTGATTAAAATAGATAGATAAAAAACTTAAATTCAAAGTAAGACTTTAAAAAATCAATAAGCGATCTTAACTTTAAAATTTAAAAAGATGAAGAACTTTGTACCAAATTTCGGCCCCGGCCAGCCCAACTGCGTTGCAACGGTCAAATTCGACAAACTCGCGGAGCTTCCGCCGAGTTTCGCTCCCGGGGCTTCCTGATGGCAAAAATCTTCACACATCGGCGACGTTTCAAACAGCTTTGCGCTGAATTTCGGCCCAGTCCGGCCCAAATCTGCGTCGTCAACACGGTCAAACTCGGGGCCTTCACCGAGTTTCGCTCCCGGGGCTTGCCGTTGGCAGAAATCTTCACACATCGGCGACGTTTCAAACACGCGTAGTGGCACAATCACAAAAATTCTTCAGTTCACAGTCAAAAACACCCATAAAATGCCGAAATACAACACAAAATTCAGAAGGATCGGCATCGCGCGTGTTGTTTGTTGTTTTCAACGGCTGGTACTTCACCAGATTCAAATGAAAAGCGAGTGGCGTCGGGCTGACGTCAGAGGCGAGGAGAGTTTTGATTGGCTGTGCGCGCGCAGACAGAGGGGGATTTTCACTATGCGCGCGAGGAGACAATGTTGAGACAAACCGCGTGCTCGATTTTTCTAAACGCAAATATGTATATATTATTTTATTTGTATTTCTTATATTTATATACTATTGAAACATTTAGAGTTAAAAATTACATAAAAAAATTAAAATAATTATAGAGGACTGAAAATTTAAAATAATTCAATCTTATTAAATTAAATTTTAAAATAATTTTTAATTTTTAAAATTAATTAAGAAATCTTAAAGACTGAAAAGTCTAATAAAATAAATATAACTTGGCTAAAGTATAAATTTTTATTAAAATAATGAAGTTAAATTTTATAATACAAAATTAATAAAAAAAATTAATTTCAATTTAATTTTATTTTATTTTTAAAAAAGCAAAAATATTTGTTTTAATATTTGAAGAAATAAATGAAAAATTTTAAGTCCAAATTAAAAAAAAAAAGTTTTCTGGTGAACGTCCTGGAACCAAGACCTGAACGGCCATTATTTTTAACATTCTGTGAACCGGAATTTTTACCCCTACGCCCCGAGATCCACCTTGAGGCTACTAAGTCCCGCCGACATAAAAATTTTTGAAGAGGGTCTAGAAATCGCGGTCTAAACATTCACATAGTTTCTAGAAAATTTCGATGGCATCTGCAAAGTTTATTGTCCCGTTGTAACGTCCCCAATATACTAATTAGGCGTTATTTATTGTTGAAATTTTTTTTTAATAATTTACGTTTTGAAATCATTTTAAGTCATTTTTGAGTGAGTAAAATTTTTATCAATCTGGGATACTTTTTGGACGGGTGCAAATTTTGGACTTGAGCAAGAGAAAAAGTTGCTTTTAATGCGGCTAATTTATTTCGAAAATCCCTTTTTCGAAATTGAAGTGGAAATTGATAAATAAACCAATTTAAAAAAAATTCCGAAAATACAGGTTGAATGTCGCTTCACTCTTTTGTATATCAAGCGTGGGACCCGCTTCAAATCTGAATTGCGATTCAACTCCTCTAAAATCGCTGAGCAGTGGCTAAATTTTGTTATATTAATTAATATTATTTATTTTTAGAGCCATGGCTTAAGTTTTATCCTTCTGTGTTAACGTAAAATGGTAAAATAAATAAATTCATTTTCGTGAAAATTTCCTTGTAATGTCAGGGAATGTACCTCGCTATAGCAGGTAATTTACCACGCGGCTTAACACAAAATTACCACTCGGCTATTTGCACAAAATCCTTAATCGCGAACACAACTTCTCGGTGCCTCGAAAAATCAAATCAATTCTGCCATTTGCTCACCGCCGTTACACCCTCGTTGCAACTAAGATCCAACGCAAATCCACCTCAATTGCAACTCGTTTCAAACATGGTTTCACCAATGCTGCACCACGTTCTGAACCAATTACTGCCTGCGTCGCTCACAGGTTTCCCCGCAACTTTGCATTTCCAGCAATGCTTTCGGTTCGCGATCGAAATCCAGGCCAGCGAAGGCAGTGCTTAGGAGAAATATGAAGAAAAATCAAATCAATTCTGCCGTTTGCTCAACGCCGTCACACCCTTGTTTCAACTAAGATCCAACGCAAATCCACCTCAATTGCAACTCGTTTCTAACATGGTTTCACCGATGCTGCACCACGTTCTGTAACAATTAATGCCTGCGTCGAACAAACCACGAGAAAATCCAGTTATAATTATTTCCGAAATTATTTACCATTATCATGATGATTAAATGTTAAATAAATATTGCCTCGCAGACCACAGTAAGACGGTCACAAACACAATTTCCACAGTTGGCAACACAAAGTCCGCGGATGTCGTGTTGACCACTGCTGACGATGCATTGTATTTGCAACCGAGGATATTGTGTCATTTCAGTCAGTGATCAACCAGTTCCCTCGCCCCCGGAAAATGTTGCGCACAAAGCAAATTCATTGAAATGTTTCAAAACATATTATTAAAGCAGAGAATCTCTATAGCTTTACTTTTTGCCTGCTTTTTATCTTTTGTCTTCATTTTGTCCCAATTTTATCTTAATTTTATCTCATTTTTGTCACATTTTGTGTAATGGATTTAATTTTCAAATAAAAGAACTTATTTGAGCAAGAGAAAAAGTTGCTTTTAATGCGGTTAATTTATTTCGAAAATGCCTTTTTCGAAATTGAAGTGGAAATTGATAAATAAACCAATTTAAAAAAAATTCCGAAAATACAGGTTGAATGTCGCTTCACTCTTTTGTATATCAAGCGTGGGAACCGCTTCAAATCTGAATTGCGATTCAACTCCTCTAAAATCGCTGAGCAGTGGCTAAATTTTGTTATATTAATTAAGATTATTTATTTTTAGAGCCATGGCTTAAGTTTTATCCTTCTGTGGTAACGTAAAATGGTAAAATAAATAAATTCATTTTCGTGAAAACTTCCTTAAGCTTTTGAACCTGCACGTCTTCTCCGCGCGTCCCAGGGGGCGAAACTTGACCGTAAGTACAGTTCGTCTGCATCAACCATTTATCAAAATAAATCCATTCAAAACAAACCAATATACTAATTTTATGCATTTCACTCTTCTTTCATTAGCCCTTAGGAATTCAAGAATATGCGACCCCAACAAAATTTTTTTTCCTCAAATCGCATTGGTTGGCATTGGAAGTATTTAGCAACCAAAACAAAGGCCCAGCCTCCCATTCCCATTCTTGACTGGACTTTCTGGAGCGATATTTATTGTCCCCCTAAAAAAGCAATACTTTTTTAATTGCACACAATAATACATAGAGGTCTGAGCTTGGGTTTTATGTAAAACTATTAGTATACCTAGGTGAAGGCCGGTGCCATCTCAGGCATCGTTCTGAGCTTGGGTTTTAAGTAAAACTATTAGTATACCTAGGTGAAGGCCGGTGCCATCTCAGGCATCGGTTTGAGCTTGGGTTTTATGTAAAACTATTAATATACCTATGTGAAGGCGAGTGCCATCTCAGGCATCGGTCTGAGCTTGGGTTTTATGTAAAACTATTAGTATACCTAGGTGAAGGCCGGTGCCATCTCAGGCATCGGTCTGAGCTTGGGTTTTATGTGAAACTATTAGTATACCTAGGTGAAGGCCGGTGCCATCTCAGGCATCGGTCTGAGCTTGGGTTTTATGTAAAACTATTAGTATACCTAGGTGAAGGCCGGTGCCATCTCAGGCATCGGTCTGAGCTTGGGTTTTATCTAAAACTATTAGTATACCTAGGTGAAGGCCGGTGCCATCTCAGGCATCGGTCTGAGCTTGGGTTTTATCTAAAACTATTAGTATACTTAGGTGAAGGCCGGTGCCATCTCAGGCATCGGTCTGAGCTTGGGTTTTATGTACAACTATTAGTATTCCCAGATAGAGGCCGGTGCCATCTCAGGATTTATATTTCCTCATTTTGATTTATTTTGTTGGAATCAGGGCTTCATTAAATTACCTTAAAAAGTGTAGTTTTGTTAAGTTAAATTATTCGATATGTGAAAGCTTTTCACAGACATATTGAATTGAAGAGAGAATAAAGAAATAGATAGACTCCAGTTTGCTGACTGATAAGTGGCCGAAGGTCAAATTTAAATTTGATCATTGCAGCATCCAACAGACATGAGGAGCATGCCGACGGACATTTCTCAAGGCACTCAGCGCAAGGAGCAAGCAACTTATTTCCACCTTGTTGTTGAAGTAGACTAATTAATTTTTTTTCCAGCAGCTTCTTTGTTTCGCTGATGGAATTTTTCCACCGTCAATCTGCGGTAGCCTCAGTCTTGCTGGATGCTGCAATGAGAAGAAAGGGACTCACTCATACAGTCCGCACCACCTGGCTCTTTGCCTTGACTGACCAGGTAAGTAATTTCTACCCTGCTCTTGCTAGTCGATTAATTTTATATTCTTTTTCAGGCCAATCAAGGCAAAGGGCCGTGTGGGGCCGACTGCATTTCTTTCTCATGCAGCATCCAACAGATGTGGGGCTGGAGCAAGCCGAGGCAAAATTCCTCAAGGCACTCAACAAAAGCAGCAGGTAAATAATTTCCAGTGTAGTTGAAGTCAACTTAATAATTTTTCAGAGCTGACACCTGCCCATTTTTTTGAAATGCTGCTCTTATTTTGAAAAGGTGACACCTGGAAGACGTATAAGACACTTGTCTTTAGAACTGCCTTAACAACCAACGACAACCTTTCTTGCACAGTTAAGTCATTTGTATTTTACGTTTTCTATCAACTGACATTTACTTCATTTTTTCAGGCCTTACATCTCAGGTGCCTCGCAGTATTAGGGAAGGTACCTCGCAATAACCGGTAACTTACCACGCGGCTGAAGACAAAATCCTAAATCGCGAACACAACTTCTCGGTGCCTCGCAGTATCAGGTAAGGTACCTCGCAATAACAGGTAATTACCACGCGGCTGAACACAAAAACCTGAATCGCGAACACAACTTCTCAGTGCCTCGCAGTATCAGGGAAGGCACCTCGCAATAACCGGTAATTTACCAAGCGGCTGAAAACAAAATCCTTGATCGCGAACACAACTTCTCGGTGCCTCTCAGTATCAGGGAAGGTACCTCGCAATAACCGGTAACTTACCACGCGGCTGAACACAAAATCCTCAATCGCGAACACAACTTCTCGGTGCCTCTCAGTATCAGGGAAGGTACCTCGCAATAACCGGTAACTTACCACGCGGCTGAACACAAAATCCTAAATCGCGAACACAACTTCTCGGTGCCTCTCAGTATCAGGGAAGGTACCTCGCAATAACCGGTATCTTACCACGCGGCTGAACACAAAATCCTCAATCGCGAACACAACTTCTCGGTTCCTCTCAGTATCAGGGAAGGTACCTCGCAATAACCGGTAACTTACCACGCGTCTGAACACAAAATCCTTAATCGCGAACACAACTTCTCGGTGCCTCTCAGTATCAGGGAAGGTACCTCGCAATAACCGGTAACTTATCACGCGGCTGAACACAAAATCCTCAATCACGAACACAACTTCTCGGTGCCTCTCAGTATCAGGGAAGGTACCTCGCAATAACCGGTAAC